GATCCGCTCGCTTAATGGAACGGTCGGTGAGTAATTTGAAATTCCAATGGGTGCGGGAAATCTGAGAGGTATTGATTACAACGGGGTATGAATTAGATTTTACCGTGTCTGATAAAGATACGGTTCCTGTTCTACAGTTCAATGTTATAGCGATCGAGCGATTGGACACTTTCGTCACACTAAGGCTTCTGCTATCTAATTTATACTAATATAATATTTAATTCATAGTAAAATAATATAAAAAATATCTTTTGTTATAAAAAATGGTCCGCTTTCAAAGCACGGTGTTTTTTAGACAATTCATTACAGAATTAAACAAGAAAATCCTTATTTAGTACGATATCATACGAATTGGAATTGGTGCAATAAACCTCACATGATGTCACATTCAGAATACCTGCAAAGCTAGTGCCGTAGCGACAGAGCAAGTTTTAAATTTGAAATTCCATTCCGCTATCCCACCACTGAAAATAACTCGAAAAAGAAGTGTTGCACTATAAAGCCGGTTTTATTCACGCCCGACATTATATCCGACGCTTTCATTAGTTTAACGTATAACTTTAATTTCAAACTGTCAGATGGTGAACTTGTTTAAAGAGGACTGTACAGCGCGGAGGCAGTAACAAAAATAATGTTACATCCGCAGTTCGCGTTCAGCGACAAATTGCTACAATTTTTTGCTAGGCGCTTTCTGTTTTAGTTAGAGCGGTAATGAAATATTTAGCATAATTTCCTAGATAAGTAGATTAAGCATAAACTTTTAAATGTAAAGAATCGTCCCATTGCCATTTTTCAAGAGTTTATGTATTATTTATATTATTACATGTAAATAATTCATACAATAAAGAAATACCTATTATCTACTTATTATATAAGTATTGTTCAATTAATATAATGTTTGACCCCGAACTAGACAAAAAATATTCTCATGGTTTATCTATACCAATTGAATAATATATATATAAGAATATTTTTCAGTGTTTAGGATGACACAGCAATCAAAACACAATTGAGTTTCTCTGTAATTAAAGATTTATTGTAAGATTTTGAAACTATAACAAATAATAATTAAAATAACAAAAATAAAAGATTTTACTATTAAAACATGACCTGTAATTAAAGAAACGACATTTAAATGTTAATAATCACAATGTCGATTCCTAAATCACTATTTTACTTATTAAATATCTTTGTAATCAGATTATTTTCATGAATTGCTTCATATGACAGCTTAATTATTTTTCTGTTATAATCCGGCGTACAAACATAGTTTTTAAAATAAATTTTATCAACGGCCGGTGCGCGAAAATATTTAAATTAAAGAAAATATTTAAATAAAAGAAAATAATATTTTTCTTTACATATATTTAAAAATATACAAATAATAATATAACTAAGTAGAAGAGAATCCACTATTTAGTTCTAGAAAAATAAATATTTATCTATAGAAAAAAAAGGCGATAATTGGAATAAGATATAAAGTGGAAAGGAGAAAGAGAATTCTGTGTTGTGTATTTAATAAAAAAAATATTTAAATTTTAGAAGTTTCAGTTCTATCACGTGTACACGCGCAATTTTCGCATTTATATTCCAGTATAAGATATTCAAGTTGTGAGGTGTGTCTTAATTATGAGAACTTAAAAAAAAAAAATTATGAAAATAAAAGAAGCCTAAGTTACTCCTTATTTCATCAGATATCTGCGTCCCGATAATATCAGAAAGTCCCGTCAAAATCGGTACAGCCGTTTCAGAGATTAGCCGGAATAAATAAACAGACGGACAAAAATTGTAAAATATATGTGTATACATCCATATGCATTTAGTAAAAAGCGGTTATTTTAATATTACAAACAGACACTCCAATTTTATTTATCTGTATAGATTTTAACTCCATTGTGATACGGGAAACATAAGTAACATTTCTTGTGGAGAGCCGGGGCAGTGTAACTAGTACAACTTAATATACTAACATTTAAATTAAATTGCGTAGTTTACACACCTTTCGCTCGTAATTTACATCTCCAAAGGGGTACGAACGTCTTGTGGACCCAGAACTGACGTCTGCCCGTTGTCTCGCTTGAGGGGTCTTCAAACTCATTATTCTGTTCGGGTACCTGTCGCCGTCAATATGATTAATTATCAACAGCACGAAGATATGGTTTCAGGAAGTCTGTGAGCGACATGCGGTTGATGCCAATTGACCACTGGAGCAATATTTATGATTTGGATCCCGCCCCGTTGTAAATAGCATCATTGAAGTTATGTTATGTTCTAATATAATAAAAGATTTTTTTTCTAGTTTACAAGTATTACTCCACTGTTTGGAGAGACGCTATTTTCCTTTGTCATTAACGTTATTTATTTTATTTATGCGTGTGTTTATGTTTCTACAGAGACTACGCGGATGCACTGTTCTCAGTGCGAGCTAGTGGGTGTGACGTTTCAAAATAGAAATTACTATCAACTAGATCCAATACCAATGACATTAGTATGGGACCACATGGGAAGCACGAGCTTTCAAATAATAAAAGCTTTCAAATCAAAATCCGTTCATTCAGTCGAAAGTTCTGAAGTAACAAATTGAGAGGAGGCTCTCACCTTTTATAAGTCGGTTGAAAATTGAAGTCACTCCGCCATCAATAAAAATGAAGTTCTGTTTAAGTATTAAACGTTTCATTGCATTAGCTAGAATCAGTTAAATAATAAGGATGCATGCTATTACAATTTTAACTAAAGAAGCTTAGTAATACGTACATTCATATGATTTTCACACAAAATAACAATACGCGTAAATTCGACGACAGCGACACTAGTCCGTATCTAAACGACAAAATCGCGAACATCGATAGAATTTCAATACAGAAACCCCCGAAGCCAAGGCGACAGCCCTAAAACGAAGCGAGGCGTCGCGTCTCTTTTATTAAACAGCCTGTATAATTTCAGGGTCAATTTGAACCCTTTCAACGTTCTTGGCGGGGGTGAGTGTTACGGCCCCGTGTGTGCCCTACCTCCCGCGGGTCCCGCGTCGGCTAGGGTTGAATCCCGCGTCACGATTTATTTCTATTATACTACATAGGGGGTAAGGTTGCGACACACTTGTATCTCTTTTGTATAATATCGGTAATCTTTCGTGAACACGGACTAAAATACGGGCAATTAATGTAAGAGGTAAAAAGCCAAAACCCCATAGAGTTAGTGTGGTGAACTCTTTAACTACACTTTACTAGACTACGCTATATAAAAGTTACAGCTATACATGTCTACTGCTGGGCAAAGGCCTCCTCTATACAAAGGGTATCAGGGCATTATCCGCCGCGCGGCCCCACCGCGTAATGGCGGACTTCACATATCTTCGAAATATTTTTTTTTGTTATTATTTCGAAGATATGCAGGTTTCCTCACGATGTTTTCATTCACCGCGGAGCACGTGATAAGTCAGCACTTAAAGTTAAAAACTTCATTGGTGCCGGCACCGGGGATCGAACTCAGGTTGCTCGAGTATATTGAATTAAAGGCGAGCGCCCTGACACTGAGCTATCACGGCTCTACGCCTATGCTACGCTATATGCCCCACAGATATAGCTGCTTGCTGCAATAGCCGCGTGGCACAGGATTATGTGATCTTATGATGATGGTAGTGATGCTGTCAATATTGATTATTAGTTTTTCTATAAATAAAGAAATAATAAATTCTTCGTTACAAAAAACCAAACCAACTTTTAACAAACATTTCACTCGTGTCATTTTCTATTTCTTTTTTACACTGGAGACGACCCAATATCAATAAATAAAGTACTAGGTGCTAGCTCAGCCGAAATTAATGCAAAATGAATTTTTACGATCGGCCCATAAATGACGGAGTTATGAGGAATACATGAAGAATACAATCGTTTTTTGAAGTCTGCCGAGACTGGAACCCATAATGTTTGCACTTCCTTCTACGAGCATGTATAGGTCGTCTTCGTAGCAAGTCTACGCGAGCGCTCTCGTATCCTATATGAAATGTGTTCCCAATAAATAATAACTGAGAGATTAATCTAAGACAATTTTGCGCTCCCGCTGTGCCACCGACCTAACGCCGTCTTGTGCGATCCGGTTTCGGGTCAAGGAACAGTTCCCATTGGGCTCTTCCCCTGGATTAAATTTCGAAACAGCCCGCCATTTGCGGGAAATTGGGAGTAGCCGGCCGATCGCACTGAAACCTGATAAATATGTAAAGCCGCTAACACTTCGGGCCTACCGAAAAAGTTAAGGGTTGTACTTTGACATGACAGGCTCGTTATAACGACACAAGAAAGAGTGACAGAGACAAATAAGCCGGTTCATCTAATGAAGAAAATAAAACTAATAAAAAATTAAGACCAGTATTCAAAAGGTTGTAAACAGATGTTCATGTATGTCTCGGGTGTAGCCGATGTCCATGGGCGGCGGTATTCACTCAACATCAGGTGAACCGCTTGCTCGCTTGGCAAACTTGTCACATAAAAAATGCGACATTTTGGAAACGTAAATTAATTCATAACGTTCATGAATTCTGTTTTACAAGCTTCTTTAGATTGCGTTCTTCGTAATGTAACTAAGTCGTATCGCCCCATGTAATAGGTTTTGGTTTATACTTTAAAATAATATTTCATTTGCCAGTGACATCAAATTTCACATAAACACAAAGAAGAAGAAGAATGGTGGTTGAAAATAATGTCGACTAAAAACATTTTTCATCACGATTTTTTTATAAATTCACTACAGTTTTATAATTAAGATAATGCCCCGCGGATAACCTAATCCTCAATGAGAAAATATTGAGAAAAAGTTGACGTTAAAGCCAATAAGCCAATGAACATCACGACAAACTTTAAAATTTGTAGAAACACCTTAAGAGCAATATATAAATAAATTAAATATCACGAGTGAAAAAAAAAAACAAAATGTAACCATAGATTTTTTTGTTTCAGATTTCGTATGCGACCTTCAAGCTAACTAAACGTCTAACTGACGACCGAATGCCAAAGGTAACTATAATATATATAATAACTTATTGTAAATAGCAGATTCAATCATTAGTGGTTACACCCTTTTTACGCCAAAATTTATATAAATATATTTTGTAGCGTATATTGTGGGTAGAAAAATAAATACAAAATGTTATGTATGTACTGCCGGGCGCAACAGTCTGTTTCCGCATTAAATGTGTATAACATTACAATTATAGTTTTATTGAAAAATCGTAGAGGTAACGACGTACATACACTACATATTTATTCCGAAAAATAATCATCATCGCTACATAGTATGAAACAAAGTCGTCCCGCTGTGTCTGTCCCTATGTATGCTTAGATCTTTTAAACTACGCAACGGATTTTGATGCGGTTTTTATTTACTAGATAGAGTTATTCACGAGAGAAGGTTTATATATATATAATACACTGCACCCGTGCGAAGCCGGGGCGGGTCCCTAGTATATAATAATCTGTAAAAGAAATATATTTACACATTTATTCTACACTACCCGCCCCGTATTTGCTTGGAAAACAGATATAAAACGTCCTGATCTTTTCCGACATTTTCTACAATCATCCTTATATTTGAGCCAAGTTACCGCAAAGCGTTCATGAATTTTCCAGCTTAAAGATGAAATAGTGAATGTTTCGTTTATTTGTTATAACCGTGTGAAAATGGTTTCGTTTGTTTTTGAGTTAATCACGATCAGACAGACAAACAGATGTTGTGAGGGACGTCAATCTGTTGTCATACGCCAATGTAAAATTATTTTGCGGTGCAAGCAACTGGCTTAGCACTCGTGACCTCAGTTCTAAAGTCTGACCGACGTACCAATAGCTAAGCTATCCCTGAATATTCGCTCGACCAAATACAAATCAAACATTCATCAACTTATGAAACATACATTTCATCTATCGATAGTCATCTTTTTTCTAAATCTACCACCGTTTCGTAATGAGATTCCTCTAACGGAGAAGAAACACCCGAAAGAAACTCCGTAGGAATCATCTTTTATTGGCATTTCTTTTTCGTATGTACCTACCTGTGTTTAATATTTTATTGTTTTACAAATTAAAATATTAAACATACATTTCTTTAAGAAATAGCTTGGGAGCTATCAACTCATTCCCATGGTCTTTGATCATTAATGTATTCATCTGTAATAACCCTTTTTATGAAGCTTTTCTTTAATAAATTTATTAAACCTGTTAATAGGCAGGCTTCGCGCATTTACTGGCGTTTTGTTTTAGAAGCGTATACCCCGCCCCATGAACGAGTTACTTACTCTATCTCTGAGTCTTCTAATTGGCGTTAGAAGCTTAACGAAAAAAACGTTAGAAGCTTAAGTTATAACTCAATTTAACGCTGCCTCTTTATTTAAAGCAATCGGAATGGATATTATTATGCATATTTCTCACATTAATTAGTTTAAAACACGTAATTGATGCCGTGATAGCTCAGAAGAGCCGTGATAGCTCAGTGTCCGGGCGCTCGCCTTTAATTCAATATACTCGAGCAACCCGAGGTCGATCCCCGGTGCCGGCACCAATGAAGTTTTTAACTTTAAGTGATGACTTATCACGTGTTCCGCGGTGAAGAAAAACATCGTGAGGAAACCTGCATATTTTCGAAATAATAACAGAAAAAAAAACATATTTCGAAGATATGTGAAGTCCGCCAATCCACGGTGCGCTGATACCCTCTGTATAGAGGAGGCCTTTGCCCAGCAGTGGGACATGTATAGGCTATGACTACTATAACTTTACGTTACTAATTTCTGGCAAAAAATATATCTTCATAACTCTCATGCATGTAACATGCGTAGAAATTTAACCAGTCCACCATATCATGAAATGACATTAATCTCGATAAATCATTGATTTAGTGACAATTCTATTGGAAATACGCACTGTACAACCCACAAATCGAATATCCGCCACTGCCGAGCATTACTCAGCGTATACCGCCGTAAAGGTATAAATAACGACCGGACCAGTGCGTGAGTCACAATTCGGGTTCCGTAAACACGATTGCAATTCGATTTACAAGGGACGATGGATACGGGCATTCAGTCTGAAGGAAACAACCGATAGAAAACATTCTTGTCCTTAGGTTAGTATTGTAAGGGAGGAAAATATACGTTATGTCTTACAGTTATTTTTATATTATAGAGAGCCAACGCGATAAGCCTCATGGCAAGTTATATCTCCCGTGGAATTTTCAGCACCAGAAGAGATGTGCTTTTGCTGCCTGTTAATAGATAAGAATTGACGACTCCGTGGCGCAGTTGCTAAGGCTTCGACGGCGGGGGGGGGTCGTGGGTGGTCCGCGTGAAATTTGCGTTTGTAGAACGTCCTTACAACACAGGATAAAGTTATCTTAAAGTAAGGGCAGATCTAAAACAGTGCATGTAATCTTCACCTCAAAATATATAATACTTTTGAGTGCGACTTTAAACGACGCCGTACTCTTAAAGGTATCCTAGTATTTTTTTTCTACGCAACCATTCCCCGCTCAAAAAACACCGGCGGGGGCGCGTGTTACGCGATTTATTTTCTCCCGAGCAGTGCGGCCACAATATTTCACTCGGTACCTCCCGGCTCCCTGAATTATTTATACTATCGCGATAGGAAAGAAATTCATTCCGCTATCTCCGCAAGCGGGAGCGCAGCGGCCCGGACCGCTTTTCGGTTCGCTTTTGACGCGCTTGACTGATACGAAACAATATATCAGGCATAATCGACGCGGTAGAACACCCAACCCCCAATGCCTTCGAAGTCTTTTGAACTGGGAAGAAGGAGGTACTGAATTCTTTAGAAGTCTTTTGAAGTACAAAGAAGGAGAAGGTACTCAATTCTTTAATATTTGTTTGAGGATTCTTCCTTAGCTTATCTTCGGGTTGGAATGATTCTTCTCATCCGAGGAAGATGGTTCGTCTGCATTGGTCCGATGTTGGGATTGATCACTGGCATCCTCTCGAGTCTGTTCTTTCTCGTATTTACGCGAATTTCACACATTTTAATGTTATGAGTTTTTATGTTCCCTGCGGTTAGAGTCTCCGTTGTCACCGGAAGGAATTAAATGTTTAACTTCCTGATGTAACTGTTAACCCGGGCTACGGTCAACTGCAAATTTTTAATTTCAGTCCGATCCACCCAGCCAGCTCTGTACTGCGATGGTGGAGTGCTCAGGTCCGTCTTTATTTGAATGAAAGCAGAACCCAAGCAGGTGTTAGAATCTCAACGACCCTTTCCATAGAAATTTCAATATTTCTTTATTTCAATAGCCACGTCAATCAGCCAGGTTAACAGTGACATGGTGCTCAATAAATCGCCCAAATCGCAAGTTTGACATCTTTAAAAATAGTATAATCTAATTATTGTCAAATAATTGATAAAAATAATTGCGCCGCTGGGTATCTTTTGACAATCAATAAGTAAGTGTAATATCAACAAGTAAGTGTAATATTGAATAAAGGTGTTTGATTTTGAAAAAATCAAGCGTTAAACTCCACAGTGCCGAAGCGGTCTGTACAAATTGCCACCGCCCACGATTCGTTGTAAACTTCTTGATGGCAGGCTGTAAAGGGCTGATTGTGGGCCCTCGGAATTAAATCGTCCGATGGCACCAGCGGCGGCTGTTAAGTGCGGGAAATTCCTTCGAGCTGCTCGTTTAACAGGACATCGGCCGCTAATAGAATTGGCCGTTACGATAATGGCGGTTCCGTAACTTTCCGTCCGTCGAGAAGTTTGCAATGACAATGTAAACGCTTCACCCCCGCTTTGGGGTCGATTCTAATTAAGGAGTCTTGAACGAAACTAATGAATATTACGATTCTTTCGCTTTTTCGTTTGAAGAAAAGGCCGTTTGTTTGCTGCTGCCCTCGACTACGTCTGAATAGAATAGGCTGAAGGCGTAACATTCAGACAGAAAGACAGATATACCATAAAATATGTATATAAATTATAGCCTGTGTCTTATACTGATGTATAAGCTATATTATGGTAAAGTTTCATTAAAATCCATTCAGTAGTATTTGCATGAAAGAGTAACTAACTTCCATCCGTACATACAAACTTTCGCCTTTATTATTAGTAAGGACTGTACCGTTTGCATTTTCACCGTTTTTTCATTTTTTAAATGAGAAGCGAGCAAGTGGGCTGGCGGTTCACCTAATGTTAAGTGTTAACCGCCGCCCTTGGACATTTGCAGATGCGTTTCGTTTTAATAGTGGGCAGACGAAACGCAGAAGTTCAACACATAACACTTCACGCCGTTCTTCTCTACGGTTGTGGTACTTCTCTGGACGGACCTGCCCATTCGTCCAACACCGAAGACTTGCGTGGCCCTACCACAGTTAAATAATAGGTACTAACTAAATACGAAATTTGAATTCCATTATCTCCATCAATATCTATAAGATGACGAGTTCAATAAAACTTTTCGTTCATACGTTATTATTATACGTTACCTTAACTTTATTTTATCGAGCTAAGAAGGTAGAAATATAAATAATTTTACCAAATCACCGTAGTTTCACTTTGCACAACAATAACACTGGTATAATTACTTATTTTATCACTTTAATATCACTAATGAAACACCACTCTAACGATTTAATTTGTGATACCGATTGGGCGGCACTGTCGCGTGTACTTCTTGTTGACAGCCAGAGAAAAACCAAGAAATGCTTCGTGCAGCTTCATTTTTTTTTTATTAAAAAACTGGCTAGTACTTGACTGCCATCCCACCTGATGGTAAGTGGCGATGCAGCCGTTAAACCCCATCGAATGACACTTCTTTTAGTGTTGCCAACAACCTCAAGGTATGACTTCTCTTAGTGTTGCCAACACATATTATATCACTCAATGTTAGGAGGTAGGAAGATATGCACACAAATATGATTTTTTAAAGACCCGTGTACAAATATACTATATTTGCGGAGCCGAACAAAACGTATGCAGACGCTTGAGACATTCATAACCCGAAAACAATCACGGGTCTCGACTAAAAGGCAAACTTGAGTCTGCCGCACTGCATGAAACCTCATTTGAGACGGCCCCGCTTTTTCAAGTCGGCGTTCGTAAATAAGAAATCTCATGAGATATTTACGTGATGAGAGACTTCCAACAGAGCGGTAGGAGGCATTTGTGTTGAAACAAATGAGTATATTGCTACACATAATAATACCGCATTGGCGTTTCAATGTAATATCACTACATAGTATAAAACAAAGTCGTCCCGCTGTCTGTCGGTCCCTATGTATGCTCAAATCTTTAAAACTACGCAACGGATCTTGATGCGTTTTTTTTAATAGATAGAGTGATTCAAGAGGAAGGTTTATGTGTATAATACATTGTACCGTGGGAAATCGGGGCGGGTCACTAGTAACTTAATATAATTAACTCCGAAATAAAAGGAATCTGATGTAAAACTTTGCGACCTGAGCCTCTTCATATACCGTGGTTTTCACAATGTAATTATAATAGGAAGATTATAAAAATATTTTTAAGATTGCGATCTGGACATATTGCATCAAACAAAGCATAGATTATGACGGAGACAAACTCTCCAAATTGTTATCTGTGTAGAGTTGTGGAACATGTTTTGATGGAATGTGTCAAGAACAAAAAGGAGATAGAGGAAATGATAGGAGCCTTGAGCATAAACTCTTACAACATAGGAATAGAGCAGTCAGTCTTATCGCTGCCAATATAAATGCAAAAAAAATGTTGTGCTGTTTCAATGTTCTCACAATGACTTCTATATAGTTTATTCATAAGTATAGAAAAGAGATGGTCACAATGGAGTGGCCATATCCAAATAAAGAAAACAAATTCTGATTAAAAAAACTTAATATAATGCATGTCATAAGTAGTCATCTAGATGTAACAATGCGTAAACGTAATATGGATGCACCAACGGCCGATTATGTTCATCCACTTTTCATTTCTACCATAATTTTTTTACACAGATCTCTCTCGTTTTCTTCAAAGCAATCCTCGTAGTCTGTCCTAAAGCGTTTCGTTTATTTTATTAATCTACATAAAGCTCTCCTAAAGGCGGCCGTAAAGTTCTAAAATAAAGGTCGTTCCTTTCGTGGCCTTTTTGTACTCTTTTATGATTACTTAAAACCCCTTGATTTTTATCGTCGTTTCATTGAAAAAGGATTTTATTGCGTCCCCGCTTCGACGAAACGGCGACTTGGAAATCGGGAAACCGCAATAAAGGGTCGATTTACGTCGCCGAGGGCATGATTTAATCATTGTCCTTTTTATAAATTCTCCCGATCCAATACAATTTTACAACTGTAACGGTTAACGATAACTATATGTATTTATACTAGCTTTTCGCCTGCGGCTTCGCTCGCGTTGAAGCCATTAGATAAATAAAAAATAGCCTGTATCCTTTCTCAGGCTCTAGACTATCTGTGTTCCAAACGAACCGGTCCAATACCAAAGTTCAAATGAACCGGTCCAGTAGTTTTGGCGTGAAAGCGAGACAGACAGACAGACAGAGTATGGATTATTTATCGGGACTCATTGCAAAATCTGATCCGTCGATGTAATTTAATTATTTTAAACATTTCATAGGATACGAAATAGTGATTCTGTTTTGGCTAAGCTTCTCATTTTCTTTTGCAGATGAGAGCCACGACGGCGTGTTTAGCGCTAATCGCGTTGAACTATGCTTTCCTGGTAGCTGGAGACGGTGAGTTAATCAGAAATTTAGTTAAATTAGCAATTTTATAATTTTACTACATCCGAATAGGTAAAAATAATTCTCAGTACGCACTTCTTACCCTAAACGCACCACTTAACTCATCCACGGCATCCCGCTAGGCAACATAAAATACATCCATTTATTTGAAATGAACTCTACAGTAGTATCTTATACTAATGAGCATTAAATTAATGCTTAATTTTAAGTTGTCTAAAGTTCCATTAATATTTCTACATGTCTAATTTTAAAATTAATATTCTATGTTAGTATATATCAAATCAATAAATTTTTTCAAACCGATTTTCGACGTCTTATAATTTGTCTTATAATATATGTCTCTAATTCCTAATTTATAATAAGCTTTTTTATAATAAACTGTTTCCGATTTACAATAAACTTGAACAGTTTGTCCGGTAGTTTATAATATCATCAGGATTTTTTTTGTATAAGTATCTAACCTAGCTGAACTCCCAAAAACATGTTTGGGCATAGTTGCCTATTTACATATAAACATCTCGAATGGTGTCTGAATGTACACAAATCAAATCAAATCAAATCATTTATTCAACGAAATAAGAAACACACATTTCATGCATCTATAGTCTTTTTTTAAATCTACCACCGTTTCGTAATGAGGTTCCTCTAACGGAGAAGAAACAGGCGAAAGAAACTCGGTAGGTGTGCACCTTTTTTTCATTTACTTTACTCAAAATCAACGCATTCTCATGGGTTAATATCGTTAATGTATTAATTTATATTCAAATTTAAATATCTTTATTCAACATGCATTACACTCACTTATTGATAGTCAAAACCCCCAACACCGGTTCGGAAAAGATAACGGATATATTACAGTAACCCTTTTTATAAAGATTTCCTTTAATAAATCTCTCAAACCTGTTAATAGGTAGGCTTCGCCACGAATTTACTGGCATTTTGTTGTAGAAGCGTACTGAAGTAATTACGTAAGTAATATTAATTAAGTAAGTAATACACATGACAATACAAATTTATTGTAAATAAAAAAACTTTAGCTTTCAAGTAAGAAAGAGCGTTCACAAGTAACTTCGCGTCAATCATTGCTGGGTAATTACTCCGTTTTCAATTGACACTGTTGCCTGTTAAGGCCCGAACGCCTGTGATAAAAGTTAGTGTAACAAAGGAGTCTACGTAATTGTGACCGAAGCAGAAGTCCGCTAGCCTGGAATAACTTCTTACTGAATGAATCTTTGTAACAATACATCATTCCAATCTGTCGATGGCCGACCTCTTTTAGTTTAGGGGGGGAATGTCAGCGAATAAAGTTAATGGATCCACCCTTCGCACTCGCTACATACTGCTCTTTAATTTGGCTAATGAGCGAGTATTAAAAATTCCGAACGGAAATCAATCTGTCCGCGATCTTTTAATTGCGAAATGTGTACACGACATCTTTTCATCGTAACGAATTAATACCGATAGCGAACGCCACATGATTCAGTATTTATTGAAATTGAAATATTTTTAACGTAATATTAATAAATGGTAAAATACGTGGATGATTTGAATACTATATATGTGACATTTGCGTAAATATACGAAATCATAATCATTGTATATTTTACATGAATCAATTGCAATATTTAAACTAGATAATGATTTTTAGATTTAACGGTGGTAGGGCCACACAGCAGCCTCGGCTGTTGCCCGAATGGGCAGGCTCGTCCGGGTAAGTACCACGACCTCACAGAAGACCGGCGTAAAGTGGAAGTATAATACTTTCACGTTTCGTCTGGTGAGTGAGGTAGCCGGAGCCCAATTTCCAAAAAGGTTGTCAACGCATCTGCAAACCCTCGGGTGTAGCAGATGTCCATGGGCGGCGATATTCACTTAACATCAGGTGAACCGTCTGCTCGTTTGGCAACTTTGCACATAAAAAAAGAAACATTTCTTTTGCCGTTAACGCCGTTCAACGAGCTGAAATCCTCCATTAAATAAGTAAAAATAGGTTAAAAATTAAAAACCATTTGATTTAATGATTTCGTACATTTACACAAAAACGTATTAAAACACGACAAACTTCCTAAAATATTTTTATTTAATCAAGTTAATTAATTGATAAGTTATATAATAACTGAAAATATACTATAATAGACGTACATTACTTGCAAATAAATAACATCAATCAGCATTAACATTATTTCAGTCTTTAAAAGCTTTTGATTTAATTGTTTTATAAATAGGTAGGCAACCCATTAGCTATAAAAACGTGTCCCGGCTTCGCACGGGCACAGTGTATACATGTATACATATAAAGCTTCCTCTTGAATCACTCTATTTAGTAAAAAAAAAAACCGCATCAAGATCCGTTGCGTAATTTCAAAGATTTAAGCATACATAGGGACAGACTGACAGCGAGACGACTTTGTTTTGAACTATGTTGTAGTGATATTCTTTCATTAATAACAATGTTCGTCACGCGCAACGGCAATGTGTATCAACGCTAAGAAAGCAAAACTAAGGAGCCGTGTCGCGCCGAATGAGAAATCTTTCATTTCTTATCGCGACTTAGGAGCGACCACTCACAGATATCAAACCTCAGCAAGACGAGGCAGCCTCTGATATATCTGCTTGTATGGCTCCCCCAACTCCCGAGAGTCTCTACCCTCACACGAGCCTCGCTTGTAAAAGCGATTTTAACATAATTCTCGCGAGAGATAAAATTTGAATTTACAGTTCCGATCCCCGCGTATTATCCGTATTAGAAATTTAAATTTGTGCTGGGCTGAGGTGAACGTTTGTTAAATTATTTAACGATTTCCATAAATGTGTGCACGTCTAATTCTCTATCTAGGGTTGGCAGAGAAGCTTGTAAAATTAACATCCGTTACTACGATAAGTAGGGCCACGCAACAGTCTTCACTGTTGCACGAATGGGCAGGTCCATCCAGGAAAGTAACACGACGTTTACCTAGCGTGTAATGGAAATATAATTTCGCGTTTCGCCTGGTGAGTGAGGTAACCGGGGCCTACTTTACCCCTATGGGTCCTACTGTCCTACGGGTCCTACTGCCCAACGGGTCCCACTGCCCAACGGGTCCTACTGCCCTACGGGTCCTACTGCCCAACGGGTCCTACTGCCCTACGGGTCCTACTGCCCTACGGCCGTACGGCCCCGTAGGGGAAAATTAGGCTGCAACCCTACGGGTGTTGCATAAGCGGCAGTTATCACTTAACATCAGGTGAACCGCCAGCTCGCCTTGCCTTCTCACATAAAAAAGAAAGTACATCGGACGATAATCAATATTTTTAGTATATACATTAAAATATTAATCTTTTACTAATACTTTAACTACCAGTGCAAATATTGGTACAAGCTGTTCTTCTGGAGTTGCAAGTCAGCTAATTCAAAAAGTTTCTGCCTGTGTCCATGATGATAAAGTGAAAGCTTTGCGTTTCAGCTTAAAACTACACAGACTTTTGCCTGTTGTTAGAATTGACGCATTCGTTGCCATGAAATGTTGCAGAATGAAAGGCCAAATGTCAAGACCTACGACCTTTCATTTCGCTGAAACGTGTTTGCAGTTGGTCGTTAGCGCGATGACGTCATTAAATCTGTATTGCTTTATGTTCAGGGTTGTCGTGTGTACATTAAGTTGTTTATTTAAAGTTTAACCATATTACCACTTGTTGTAATACAGTCGTCCTCGATACAATAAATACTTTTTAAACAGTAGAATAGAAAGGAATATACTTTATTGCCCACGAGGAAATACATAGACAGAAAATACAGGAAACATACTACACTTATAGGTGGCGTTATTGCTACAGTAGCAATTTCTTCCATGCAACCTTTGGGTACAGGTTAGGTAATAAAGTTAAATATTGCGTTAGTACGCAATAAATAAAATAGCACGTTGTTAAATAAAATTATTCAATGAAATATATTTAAAACTGACCTTAACTGATCGACTATTGATGATAGTAAAACTAACCTGTACATACAATTTGTATTACTTCTGTTTTACTATCAAGGTACTAGAACTCGATATAGGCCCATTATGAGCGAAAATAAATGCCGTTTTTATTTCGAACTTGATGTGGTAATATGATTGAAAGCAATGATATAACATTAACAAGTAAAGTAACAGTATAACATTCACTCACCAATGCTGGGCAAATGTCTTGTCTCTTCAGAGGGTTTTGCGGAATAGTCCACCACACAACCCCACTACGGCTTTGCAGACCATACTTATATTATTAAATACGCAGGCTACCTCATCGTTTCGTCCCAAGTTGAGCACGTAGTAATCAGCCCTTAAAATCGCAGTTTCAAATTTCATTGGTACAAATGGATTGAAATAAAAAGAAATGTTTCTAAATAAAAATCAAGCATCAGGGCAGTGCTAATGAAATATATTAAAAATAGGTATTTTACAATATCAGTTGTTCAGTCTAATACTTCTACCCCTTTAATAAGACGTGAATTCAAAACGCCACATCCATAATTCAAACCCTTTTGTACTGATTCTCTAATTTCCTTTATTTTGGAAATGTTCAACTTCTCATCAAAGTATTAAATAACTCTTGCTTCGGCCAAAGTTTGAAATTTAATTATTCACGATCCTTATGAGAGGACGAACTCGTATGGAAAATTGTTTCATAGCAACTTTATCGTTCACAATACGTTATCCATATGTATGTATTCCCATCATCATCTACTATCTTCATTGTCAGAGGGTTCCAAGACCTCAAATGCTGTAAGGCACTGGAATCGGCGATATTTCATGTTTCTGCCCTTATCCAACTTAGGTTGTAAGCGTGATGACTCCGTGGCGCAGTTGCCAAGGTACTGGCTTCGGCGTCGATTCGGTGGGTTCGATTTCTACACGTCCCAACTATTTGCGTGACCCAAAGATAGTTGTTTCGTGTGTGGGTGTTTGTCAACGTGAAATGTATGTTTGTAAAACGTCGTTACAACACAGGATAATGTTATCCTAAGGTAAGGGCAATGTTAAAAAAAGTGGTTTGGTGGTAGGATTTTTGTGATCTACCGCCTGCCAGACATCGACCCTCCTTGAGAACAATTACCCAGATTCGGAACAATTATCCATGTGCAAGACAAATCTATCCCAAGTAGGAACCGGACCCACGACCCCTTGTTCCAATGACATCAGCTGCGCCATTGAAACATCGAAAACGTCAATATTAATAGAATATGAAAAGACGCACTTTTGTTATCGTATTTTTTATTATTTAATTTATTAGGCAAATTAATATTTACAAGATTAAATCTATATAAAATTACTTATTATCTATTAAATCTAATATAATAAATAACCTCGTGGATTAGGTTTATTACATCATATGTAATGCATAGATAATATGTATGTAATCTTGATTTAAGTGATTAGTTCATAAGAAGAGTTTCATCACACTGGCAATCTAATAGTATGGAAAACAGCCTCAAAATTAAATAGTTTAGAAACCTTGCGAAAGCTTTTTTTTTTCTATTTATTATTCTTAGCTGTGTTTAAATTGCATTGATAATTAATAAGTTACAGAGTGAAATAATCTTACGTCGGAAGCGAAAATGAATTTACAGAAGTTTTGATTTATTCAAAGAATTATATGTTTCTCAAAATGGTATTTTAAATAAGTAATCTGTACAGACAAGGTTTTATACCGAATTGCCTTATTGGTTTATCTAAGAAGATTAAGAGAGCTCTTGCCAAGTTAGGAAAATATTTAATTTCTTTATGACACTCCAAAATACCGACTTATTCCTGTATTTTGTGTGGCATTAAAAATCTTTTCAATGAACGTAACTTCTCACGTATCATTAAATTTTAATTTTTTTAAAAAAAATAAAAAAAACATGTATTGTGTACGCTTATTGTTCATACTGACTTATATGAAAAATTGTTGTTGAATTAACTCAGTGCTCATATTTATTATGGTATTTTATTAATTTATGATATTTCATTCCCATACAAAAATGTCATAAAAAAACTTACAATTCACATTAATTTATGAAGTGTTATTAACTTAGCAGTTCTTATTAGCTTTAAACTTTTCTTGTCTTACTAGCGGGTCCAATTAATTAGGGCTCTGTGATAACTTTTTGCTCATACTTTTTTATTCAGACGCTAGAGGTCAATCGGAGGGTGCTACTGTGTCTACGGGCAGCTTCCTGGAGGATGAGGAACCCAAAGAGGCGTGGATGAGGGCTCCGGCGGGAGGGGTTGCCGTCAGGAGTGGTGAGGACGCTCTGCTCACATGCGTCGTGCTAGGAGCGAGGGGTAAGCCCGTACTATGGAAGAGGGCGAGGGATCTTCAACTGCTGACCGCTGGTGGAGTGAGAGTCACTAGAGACGACAGAGTCCGGGTGTTGCACGATGATTGTAAGTACTTTATCAAACAAAATTGATCTATTCTAGTACCCACTTATCCAACCTATGGTAAAACTTATGTCAATGATAATTCTGATTTGTGTTGTGCCAATTTAAATTCATAAGTAACACAATTTTAACATTATATTCTTGTTTTCTCCATTTATGTCTTCAATCGATAGGTTAAATCTTTAGTTTACTATCTGTAAATTTATATCAGTATACTTTATTATCTGTAGTAGAGTCATGCAACAGTTTTGCGCTGTTTTACGAATGGGTAAGTCCGTCCGGGTAAGTAGAAGTGTTTTTTGCACCTCTGCATTTCGTCTGGTGAGTGAGGTAGCCGGAGAAAACTTTATTCAAAGGTGGCAACGTGTTGTAAATGACGCCGGGCGGCGGTTTTCACTTAACATCAGGTGAAACGCTAGCATTAAAAGAATTGTAAGCAAAAATTATGGTTAGCTAAAAAGGAATTATAAGTATTTAAAAACAAATTAAATTAAATCAACGTTATTTCATAACGACTCATGATCAATACCTATTATTTAATGACTTAAAGGCATAGAAACAGCTAAAAATTATATGTTTATAAACAGGCAGTAAAAGTATGTAAATCAAAGCTGAGACAGTCAAGGGGTATTTATTTATTTGCCATAACTGTATGATTGTCGCAACTGTTTGTTGACACATTGACTATAAATAGGTAAAAATAAATATCGAAATTGCAGAAGGAAATTTGAACACTACAAATTCCACACCACAGGCGTGGAATACCTTCTCCATTTTACTGCCGACTCCCATTTAAATATTTCATAGGAGATTACCTCTAAACTGTTCGCTTTCGCCGCACGTTCTTTCGTAGTGGCGTGATCTCGGAATTTTATCACGCATTCCCAGTAATAAGCGCTTCGGCAATAAACTCAAGAGCCTAGCCAGATTTGGCTTCTGCAAGCGAAATACGTTTTCATTGACATGGCCAGACGTGACGTTTTCCTTTGATAGCCCTTTCCCAGCGATTACAGCTACACTGGCAGCTTTAATGTCTATTTCATTTGTGTTCGTTTGAAAAAAACTCTAACAAAGACGCCAACTCACAAAGCTGTTTGTGAGATTTCTGCTGGTTTTTTTTTTTTTTATTTGGTCAGGGTCGTAATTTATTGCAATAGTGAACTCTTTCTTACAAAAGCGAGGAAAATTTGAAGAGCCACCGTTTTTTTATTAATTTCTCTGGCGTGGTTCACATCCTAGTCTATGGTTTAATGTCTTCTTTTGATATAACATGATTATTATTAATGAAGAATGAATTTGTATATTATATTTCTGGGGCAGAGGAGTTTTCCTCACGCCCTTACCATTTACAAGAGCAAGTCAATAATAGAAAAAAATTCTCCGTTTTTCTTGAATTCTTTCTTGTTTTACCAATGGTAGTGTTTATTTATTTACACACAGGAGGTTCAGACTCGGTAGTTAAACTTGTTTTCAATGCGGAAGTCATTCATAAATACCTTAATTTTACTGTTCACGCACCCAAACGAACTTGTGTGCGTATTAGTTACGAATGATCGCGCGTGAAATAAATGAGTTGTGTATAAATCACGCACTTTTTGAGATAAGTTCAATTGAATGTAATTAATTACTTACGAGTGATTTAAAATGTTTATCATTTTTTGTATAAGTCTAGAATTTAATTTAAAAAATGGATACACTTAGAAAAATTCTCCCTGTATATACTATATTTACTTTCTACGTTTCAAAGACAATCTTACAATATATAGTCCCGAGACAGGTTCGTGAATACGATCCTGTATCAATTAATCATTAAAATATGTATCAGATTGACAATAACCATTTCCTTCAGCGGAGGAGCCTCTGAAAGGGCCTGGTATAAGGAAGGGCGGAGACGTTTGGGCCCTCGTCATCAAGTCGGTGAAGCCCTCTGACGCCGGTCTGTACATGTGCGAACTGAACACAGAACCGCCGGTCAGGAGTTTCCACCGACTCACTGGTAAGTAATTATCATGATAATCACCATCTTCATCATCATCCTGCGCTTATCCCACCTAGATGGGGTCGTCACAACACGTTAATCACGTTGTGAGTGGTGTTGGCTAAGTTTTTTACAACCGGCCGCCTGCTTAAGTCAACCACCTCATAACTGTCACGCTTATATTTAGGCATTAAAGAGTGGACCAAATTCACCTTTGATTCAACTAATAAAGAAGTTAGATTACTTTCAAAACTAAAAAAAACTTCAGACTTTTAAACAGTAAACTAATAATTTTGGACAAAAAAACTTTAAAACTAAAAAAAGACTTTAAACAGGAAACTAAAAACATTGTCAAAACCTATAACATCCCAGGGAAATCGAGGGTTGCCCTCGATTTCCCTGGGATGCCATCATCAGATCCAGGTTTCCTTACCATGGTACCACCCATGGGATACCTCCTTTCCAACAAAGAAGAATCATCAAAATCGGTTCATAAATGACGATGGTATCTGAAGGTAATTGAGAAACCTCCGACTTTTTTGAAGTCGATTAAAAACATTGTTAATACCTATAACATTAAATAATATGTATATATATATATATATATATATATATATATAGGTACGCTGGAATTGAGAAACCTCCTTCTTTTTTTCAAGTCGCTTAAGAATTAATCCGTCTACGATGATTATTGTACAAACCATTCGACAAAGATACCGTAACAAAATACCAAGACATTCACCCTTATCACTTCGTCTACTATCAATTATGTATAAGAAAGTAATGAAAGAGCAGTAAGCTGAAAATTGGAAACTGTTGATTTCAATGTGTTTGTTTTCCATCAGGCGGGTTGCGGATTGTATCGAATATTTGAATATACCTTGCATTGCGCAATTGATGCAGTTGCAATAGCACGGTTACTGGGGATGTAACACGTTGGTGGTACTTGACAATGAATAAATAAATAAATTACTAATTGTTCGCAGTGATCTCCCGGGGTCTTACGCCGCCCGAGAGTCAAAACGCGACCGATACGTACTCCGCGAACGTGCCGACGCTCTCATCCGTGGCCCTGGCCCACAACTACACGGACTGTTGTCTGAGCGCGAACGTGAGCGCCGCCTGCCTAGGCTTCTGCAGCATCCAGACCATCCTGGAAGGGACCGGCCAGGACCCGGAAATATGCCAGCCCGATTTCCCCGCCATCGTTAAGTGAGTTACATTACTTATGAAATGCTTCTATTTATGAAAACTTGCATCAATGAGTAATTTTCACTTATTTATTTTTTGTGTTTATATATCTGTAACCGGCTTTTCGTCCGCGGCTTCCCTCGCGTTGAAGCCCTTAAATAAATATTAAAAATTTTCACCCCTTTACAATATTTTTTTCCAATTTAAAAACAGCCTATGTCCTTTCTCAGGCTCTTGACTATCTGTGTACCAAATTTCAATTAAATCGGATCAGTAGTTTTGGCGTTCCCTTTCACGCAACAGAAATACATACAGACACATACAGACAGACAGACAGAATTATTTTTGCATTTATAATATTAGTATCGAAGTATGGATTTCGCAGCATCTTCTACCCTAAAGATTCCTATACTTGTTGATATAGTTTCATGTGCTATATGCGTGTCTGAATGAAAAACTTATTCAATCCATGTATGATTATGGCTCTAACAAATTAATTTGTGATTTGAAACTTTTTTGTAACACTAAACAAACACAAATTGCGTGTACTATCCAAAATACTACATAACAACACGTGGAATATCACCGCGTTTACAATCTTAACTACATTACAAGATGCGGAATATCGATCAAGTGCAAGCTAGTTCAATAAATCAATAAATAAAACCGGCCAAGTGCGAGTCGGACTCGCGCAGGAAGGTTTCCGTTCCATTATTTTTTTTTAAAAAAGGGAAAAAATCATGTCTGTTTCATGGGAGCCCCGCTTAAATATTTTTTATTCTGTCTTTTAGTATTTTTTGTTAAAGCGGCAACAGAAATACATCATCTGTGAAAATTTCAACTGTCTTACTATTACGGTTCAGATCGGACAGATAAACAGGCAACGGAGTCTTAGCAATATTTTTTTTTTCTTTTTTTACATTGCCCTTACTTTAGGTTCACATTATCCTGTGTTGTAATTACATTTTACAAACATAAATTTCACGCGGACAAACACCCGGATGCGAAACAACTATCTGTGGGTCACACAAATAGTTGTCCCGTGTGGGAACCGAACCCACGACCCCCGACGCCGAGTATACCTTGGCAACTGCGCCACGGAATCATCAGAGGGAAAAAGAGATTTTACCCTTTGGGTACGGAACCCTAGAGCTGATGTAAATGTAACTAAGTTTCCAAGGTGCATGAAGGCGGCAAGTAAGATTTGGAACGCCCACAGGTGTATGGCGGACGGGCGGAACCACGTGCCGTGCTGTGTCCAGGAGCACGTGCCGGACATCTGCCAGGACGTGTGCCGAGGCGAGTTCACCCCCGTCACGGACAACATCAAGACGCACTACTCCTGCGCCACTTACATGGAGAAGACGCTCGCGTGCATCGTCGAGGGGATCGGTGAGAGGCATTGCTTTGTTACGATCTATTTGGCGATTATGTTTGTTCCCTAGTTCCAAAGTAAGCAACGCTCGCACTATGGGTACTAGATAACTGATAAACATACTTAAACATACTTTTTTTGTAAATATACATCATTGTCGTCATCATTTCAGCCTGTTCGAGTCCACTGCTGAACATAGGCCTCCCCCACAGACTGCCACCAATGACTTCCCGCACACTTGCCTAGGTCGTCACTTCATCTAGTGGGGGGTCGTTCCACACTGCGATGATATATAATAAAACATATTATACATATATAAACACCCAGACACTAGAAAAACACTATGTTCATCACACAATATTTTACCAGTAGTGGGTATCGAACCAACACCCTCTGGCGCAGAAGGTAGGTACACTACCCACTACGCATTCGGGTCGTCAAAAAAATAAACGAAATTGTTAATTTTAAGTGCTGAATTATCACGTGTTCAGCGGTGAAGGAAAACTGCATATTTCCGAAATAATAATTAAAAAAAATATTTTGAATATAGTGAAGTCCGCCAATCCGCAGTGGGGCCGCGTGGTGGACTATGCCCTGATACCCTCCGTAGGAGGCCTTTGCCCAGCAGTGGGATGTGTATAGGCTGATACTTTACTTTTTTTAGACACTGTAGGTGATGTTGAAGATTTGTGTTCTCGAATACTAGAGTATAACCTGAACTCTTCATTTTAAATCGTCGTTGGCAAAGTGTGGAATAATACTCGTATGAATGCTAATGAGAACGCGTTTTAATGTAAGATTTCCCTACAATATAAAGCTTAAAATAACTACCTATAAGTTATCCCCCAGTCGAATTGCAAGTCCGGAATGTTGAAATTATTTGACACTATAACCTGCTTTTATAATTGACATTACATATATGTAATGTCAATTATAAAAGCAGGTGATAGTGTATAATGTATTGAAGTTATACTTCTTTTATCACGTTTGGAAAAAATTATGAGTTTTTTTTATTTTATTACGCTATAGAAGTATAACTTGTTAATTGAGTACATAAGTACACACATAATTTATAGATACGCCAAAGAATTTTTTAGACTAATTATCAAGACATTTCTACAAATTTTGTATAAATGTTCTAAATATGTTCTAAATATTTACAAAATGTAAAATAAACTGTATCTAGAATTAGGGAAAAAATGCCTTATCCTAAATACATCTTATTCATTTGACTTTAACTTATCCAAAACGAATAACTTTATTTTTTCCTTGATATTAAGATATACCTCAATCTATGTTAAAGTAACATACTCGTGTCGAAAGCTCGCATTACACCTATTTTCTCTAATAATGTGCGTACTGCCGGTATTCCGTGTTGCGGAAAAATAAAAGCATTGTATCTCCGCCATATTGGGACTGCTTGAGATAAGAAAACTGATACTTTTCTCGCATAAAGTTTCAGTATAACAATGAGCGAGGGAATGCATTAGTTTCTTGACGCCATGCCGTAATGTCCTACCCATTCCGTTAGGTTAAATGGAGTGAATGAATCAAATATAACAAGTTTTTTGACGACTCTATTGGCGTAGTGAATAGTGAACATGCCTCTTGCGCCAGAGGATGCGGGTTTGATCCCCACATCTGGACAAATACTGTGTGATAAACATAGTGTTTTTCCAGTGTCTGGGTGTTTATATGTGTATAATATGTATTTATTTACAAAAGAAAAGTATGTTTAAGTATGTTTATCATAGTACAAGCGTTGCTTAGTTTGGGACTAGAGAACGTTGTGTCAAAATGTATCCTCAAATATATAACATACATATTTTGAATTATTTAATGTAGTAATGAATCGATTCCCTTCAAGAACTTCTACCGAGCCCGCCCGAAGACGTCGAAGTGGAGCCCCTGAACGAGAAGCAACTGAATGTATCGTGGGGCCCGCCCGTAGAGAACACGGAAACGGTCACGGAGTATGTAGTGAACGTGACGACGCTGAGGTCGTTCGACGCCCACCTGATCGACCCCTCAGAGAGCTCGATCCGAAGCAACGGAACCAAGCAGACCCAGTCGACGACCTACAGGGTGCAGGCGAACAAGAATTTCTTGGTTCTCAACGACCTGCTACCGTTCACTATGTACGAGATCACTGTAACGTCGTACAACATCCACGGTTCCAGTCTGCCCAGCTACAGTGTCCGGTGAGTTGCAATCGCTTTATGCTTCATGAATATATTATAAAGTCACACGAGATGAATAGAAATCGCCGTTTCAATAAATGATATTAATCGCATTTGCTACATGCATATTGTTTTATGTCACTTCAGTTATTTTATCTTCTTCCAACGCGTAAAACGAATTGTAAATATTGAAAGATTATCGCTACAAAAAGGGTGGAGTTATTATTTTAAAACAGGTCATACTCCAATCTGTTGTATCTGTGTCATATGCTACTGTCAATAGCATACCACAAGGTTAGACCTTTTAAATTTATCTTTTTTTCATGCGGAAGGATTTTACTCGTAGTTATCAAATGTCTTCCGAAAAACTTTCGATACTTGAACGTATCTGGTCACAGGTCGTTGACCCTGACACCGGGTAAAATGAAAAACATACAAGTTGCGACAGCGCCCAAGCTGCCAGATGTCAGAGGATGCTGCATCTCCGCCGGCGTCAACCACTACGGCTGCGTCGAGAAACTGTGCGACCCCACCAAGACATTTGAGATCGACGTAAGTCTTGGGAACTGGTAAAGTACTGCGTGTTCATCGACCATTTTTCCACAGTATATTGCTGACTCAGTTTTCATTTTAGTCTCCGTATGTTTTAAAATAACTCTGTGATGCAAACTTGTAATATGGGCTCGTAAATAGCATTTCCAAACAAAGACCTCAATTAAATCTAACAAAGTACGAGGTCGTTAATGCTCGTCGACTTAACAATTTAAAACTGTCCGCTGAGATAATACTGGCTAATATTCGTTATTATAAAACCTAAAATAAAATTTTTCGCGTTCTCATTTAAAGAAATTCTCTTCTAACAATAAGATCTGGCTGGAATATTGTCATTAAAAGAATATAAAAGAATATTAAATATGGTTGTACTGTAATAAAAATGAATAAGAGTTCAGATTATTGATGCTTTTATGTGTTATTTGAAACATACTTTAACATACCTACAATATCCTTTGACGTGTACATAAAACTTACATATAGGACCAAAAAAAACTAAAAAGCAGTTTAGCACTTTACTCATAGAATATTCTATCACAATGCACTCCACCTCATCTGTGACTAACGCACTGTCATCGAAACGGGCCCTTGTTTATACATCAGCTACAGGTAACAGACCTGATGATCTGCGCACCCTGGGCCGGCGTGACCTTCGGCTGCCTCGCCAACGGGATGGACCACACGCCCTGCTGCCGCTCAAGGGGACTCCCCGAGCCCTGTCTGCCTCTGTGCAGCGGAAACATCACCACCCTAGACTTCAATCACTTCAAGTACGCAACCTCTGATAACAACATGATCAAAGCACCGGCGAAACAAATATTTTCTTCAAAAATGTTTAACGCAACGATAAAGATTCTTAAAGACTTTTAAATGTTACTAAATGAAACCTTTTTACGGATTTATCGCGATTATTTTTAATTTTAATTCCTGACGTTTCAAATGCTTCATTTTTTTATAAAAGTTCCGAAGCGAGCAGATGGTTCACCTGATGTAAAGTTATTACTGCAGCCCATGGACATCTACTAAACCCGATGATGGACATCTACTACACAAAATGCGTTGACAACCTTTTGAAAATTAGGCTCCGGCTACCTCACCCACCAAAGTATTACACTTCCACTTTACGCCGGTCTTCTGTAAGGTCGTGGTACCTACCCGGACGAGCCTGCCCATTCGTGCAACAGCCGAGGCCGCTGCGTGGCCTAACCAACGTAGTTAATTCTTTCTTCAATATTTATAGTCACGGAACAGACTGAGGCGTTGAACGTCTGAATGTCATTGTTAACCTGGACTATCGCCAGTTTTCTGGACTCCTAAAAAAGATAGAGGTTCCGAATTTATTGGAATCGGTTCTACAATGATGATTATGTTCAGCCGTCTTATATGACAGTCAGGTCATACTAGCCCTACTCTATTTGATATCAACTACAAGTGACGTGAATGGAGCCACAAATTACTCTAAACGACCCATACTTCTAAAGATTGGCAAGGCATCTAATACCACAGTTTAGTCAGGGATTCCAGTTGCTTATTTAACATATTTTCTCATTGACCTAATTTACTGGTTGTTTTTTTAAGTAATTTTACATTTGTTTTATATTTCAATTATGTATTTATGTTGTTTTCTTTTACTGTATTATTTATAAGTATTTTTATTGTTAAATTTAGTATTTTTTTTCTCTCTTGTTGTGTGCGTCCTTTTTTGGTAAATAAAAGTATTCCGTTTCTTTCTTTTTTTATCAAAATACCTAAATAGTCTAGAACCAATCTAACAATACCTCTTCCTGTAGGTGTCTTAGATACATGACGGCGTACACGAACTGCCTTCTGCAAGGGTACGGGGTGCTCCCAGGGCCGCCGTCAAGGTTGCACCTCACCAACATAGACACGGACTACGCAGTTGTTCACTGGGCACCGCCCGCGGCGCTGGCTGACACCGTACAGTTCTACAACTTGCACTACAAGGCGCTGGGTGTCGACGACGAATACAGCGCACTCAGGAAGGTAATTAAAACTGGTCGCAGCTTTTTCAATATCAGCCTATTGCCGTCCACTGCTGAACGTAAGCCTCACCCAAAGTGCGCCAACTATCCTGGTCCTGGACAGCCCGCATCCATCCGCTGCCCGCCACCTTGCTTAAGTCGTCAGTCCATCGTGTTGCACGCCGTCCCACACTTCGTTTTCCTAACCGTGGTGTCCACTCTAACACGTGTCGGCTCCAGCTCCTTTCCAGCATACAAACAATTTCGAAGATCGTTTTACAACGGTAATTCGAACGAGAGACGTCACTATTGCTTTTTAGAAATAACATTTTTTATAGTGCTAATTAGAATTACAATTTAGAAATTTAAACTTTAATGTTTAATTCTAAGTACAGAGATTAGCACTATAAAAATTTTAATGCCGGATGCGCCGAGCATTGCTTCAAATCCAAAAAAGCAATGTAGATGAAAGACGGTAAGAGTTGCGTCGGTGTGGCAATCAGCCGTTTAGCTTAGTCGCTAAAGCGTCAGGCCGCGAATGCCGAAGATTCGATTCCCACAGCGGTGACAATCTTTTCGTACATTTTCTACAAATTTTAATGTTCCCTTTAGGTGCAGTCACCTTACATACTGGAGAACTTGGAGTCGAATACTGACTACGAGATATACGTGGAAGCGGTCAACGAGCATGGAGTGGGCGACGCTTCACCTAGACTTATATTCAGGACGCAAAGCCAGGTAAATTAATGACTAACTTAATGATGCAAAATATATTTGTTCATAATTGTAAGATATTATTGAGCTGCAATGCTAGGTCGTTTCGTGTATGTAATTTGTCTAGTAAAATAACATCCAAATAAAAAAGTTTTTTTTTTTTAATATAAACACTCGTTTCGTATATTGAATTCGAGTTCTGCTACCAACTGTACCAACCACTACAACAGCAGTTTCCCATTCTTTAAAACGTTGCCCCCTTACCGTAGGATAATATTATCCCGTCATGTGAGGACTTTTTAAATACATAAATTTCACGCGGATAAACACCGAAACAACTGTGTGTCGCAGTAATAGTTGTTTCGCGTGTTAATCGAACCCACGACCGCGGCCTACACCTCGGCAACTGCGCCACGGAGTCATTAGATCATATTTATCTTCAAAGGCCTGTGGTCCAACAGCTAATAGAGGACGAGGAGATAGCGGCTAACGCTTACAACGTGACCGCGTGCTGCGAGAGAGTGCAGCTGGCTGGAGTTTGCATGCCGCTCTGCTCGTATGACGCCAAGATGTCAGACCTACGCACTTTGGCGCCGCTCTGCGCCCAAGAGTTCCACAAACTGCTGCGTTGCGGTGCTGGAGGTGAGAGACGTAGTGGCTGGGCATCGGTGTTTAAATATCAATATCAAAATAGTCCATGTTTCCTGAACTAAAAAGACATACTGGTAGGAAATGCCAATAGGCGTTAAGTCCGCCCTTTGTAACCCCTTTTCAAGATGTGTCAGTAAAGGATAAATTATCAAACAAATAATCATAATTATTTCAGTCAAATTAAGAATTCTTCAACTCAATTCCAAAATACTTAAAATGTCCTCGACTCTCATCACACCTTTCCTTGGGAGCCGTCATAACTCAGTGCCGAGGCGCTCGAAACTTTATTTTATCTTTTACCTTTCCTTCATGCCCGTTAATTGTTACATTAGGAAAACTATAAGATCAAGCATACCTTTTGGAACACGCTTTATTTCCGTGGATGACTTGTAAAAGTGTGCCACTTGTACCACCAGGTCGCAATCACGAGGAGTGCTGCGCACGTCGAGGGGTGCCACCAGCTTGCAGAGGTGTCTGCGCAGCGGCTCACGCGGCAGGCGTCAACACCTGCGTACCATACATCGGCAACATAGTGCAGTGTTTCGAAGAAGGTCACTATAATTTCACCAACAATGATATTATATGCAAACACGAGATAGATATTGTACGAGGGTGTAATTAGATTTCAATTCTATGGACTGCTATCTCTTTCCGTATTATACGTTCTATATCATCTGTCACATTCACTTCATGTCATATCGTAAAGCGGAAAAATTATTAACGCTGCGCAGTATGGGCATGCGTCATCTTCATTAAAACATCATTGTTTACGAGCACGATGAAATACAGAGTAAGGCTAGATAAAAGCCAGACCGCTTACTTACTTACTTACTTAGGTTCCAATAGCAACCTTTCTCAAATTGTACTGAGGCACATCAACGTAGTACGTAGTGCGTGATAAATTAAAATATTGCAGTCTTTACTATACACATAATGTTAATCTTCAATGATTGCGTACAGGCAAAGTTAAATTTTTCCCTATATCTTACAAAGTCAGGATTTTTTTATTCAATAAATTGATGATAAAGTTGTGAAAGTACCAAATCATCGTCATGAAATTATTGTAATGTCATTATTTCATGGAAGATTCCCAACAATCCATTGTTCTTACTTCCAGAAGTGGATAAATACTTAACACAAACAAGAGCTAATCGATTAATTTCATCTATCCAAACACTCCTTATTCCAACACGCAGCGTTGGAAGGCCTCCCTCTAAGTGGACCGGCGACATCGTAAGAGTCGCGGGCAACCGGTGGATGCAAATGGAAAGTGTCGTTCGTTGTGGCGTTCTAAGGGGAGTTCTATGTTCAACGGTGGACGTCTTGCGGCTGATGATGATGATTTTTTTATGTGATAAGTTGCCAAGCGAGCATGTGGTTCATCTGATGCTAAGGGAATACCACCGCCCATGGGCATCTGGCACACCCGAGGGTTTGCAGATACGTTGACAACCTTTTGAAAATTGCGCTCCGGCTACCTCACTCACCAGACGAAACGCGAAAGTATTATACTTCCGCTTTACGCCGGTCTTCTGTGAGGTCGTGGTACTTACAAGACGAGCGTGCCCATTCGTGCAACAGCCAAGGCTGCTGCGTGCCTACCACCGTTAAATGATAATGATGATGTAACACTGCTTTCCACAATCAGGTACCGGCCTGCTACCCGGGCCGCCGAGGGAACTGCACGCGGTGGTCTCCAACGACGGGAAGCTATTCCTCGACTGGTCACCACCACAGGACGGTGCCAACGCCACCTCGTACACCGTGCACTGGCAACTGGTCGGCAACAACACCCAACCTTACTACTACAACACCCTGCAACTCGACAACGTGAGTGTTATCGTGGTCTATTTATTTACTCGCTTATTATTTTATGTAAAAAAAAAAAAAATATTTCGAAGAAGACAGCAGTGGGGCCGCGTGGATTATGCCCTGATACCCTCTGTAGAGAGGAGGCCTTTGCCGAGCATTGGGACATATATAGGCTGTTACTTTACTCTTTACTTTAATTATTTTCAGCACTTTCAATATCGCAATGAAAGTTAACAGTCAAACAGTCGCACAGTTTGGTAGAATAGGGATAAGAAAAATGTTGTAATAAGAAAAATGTCTTTATATTCAAAATAAAATTAAAAAAAAAAAATAACTGCTGTCGATAGCGTTGCATGGTCTTGTACACGCATACGCGTGTATACAATAAAACAAAACAAAATTTCTTTAATTTGGAAATATAAGTAAAGTAACAGCCTAAACATGTCTATGTCTCCTCTGTACAGTCATAGTATGTGGGGCATAGTCTACCACGCAACTCCACTGGATATTGGCATGCTTGTTGCGTTTTCCTTCACCGCAGAGCACGTGATAAGTCAACACTTAAAAATCAATATTTATTGGCACCGGGTTTTGAAATCAAGTTGCTCGTCTATAATAAAATAAAAGCAAGCGCCCGAACACTGAGCTATCACGGCACCAACCAAGAATACACCGATAATAAATTCATTATTTTATGAAGAAAAAATTGAGATCACCTGTTACCGATCTGTCTCACTACATTAATTATTAATTAGCTTTAACAGGAATTGTCTGCTAGCACATTATGAACGTACAAAATTATTATATACCAAAATTAACGAACTTAACGCCCGGTTTCTGAAACACTCATCATCGTAGAAATTAACTAAGCAGTTGTCAAATGGCTTTTCAAATGTCATTTGAGCTTCCCAAAGTATGGTTGAACTCTTTGAATTGATCACTCTGTTCATTAAGAAGATCATTCTGATCAATTCAGAGAGTTTAACCATCCTTTTGGCATCCATTTAACCATCCATCTGACAAATTTGACAACTGATTAGTTAATTTCTACAACGAACAGTGTTTTAGAAACCAGGCGTAAGAGTAATAACGAAACATTTCCGACGGACCTTTACACAGTCTGTAATTTCTTATATTTATAAGACGTAAAGTTTCAGCCCCAATATCAAGGTGCGAAACGCGAGGCATTCCGTTGAACAATTGGAAATGTTGAATATCGTAATACACAGTACGAACGGATTGAAAACCCGAAGTTCGCTTTCCACATTGGGCAATAAACTATTAAACCTACTGATTTCGGATTTCGAGAGCTCTTTATTAAGGAAGTTTCGACTGCTGTGAAGTGTTGTGCACGGGAGCGAATTTACAATATGTAGACGAGCTATATTTGAGACGATACTAAACTTATATACAATTCATAACGTAACAGTTCTTTTGATGAAATAACTTCACACATTCACATAACGTTTCGTGCGTATACCAATCTTGACATTTGTCATTTTGAGCCATGAGTCACGACTTTTTACCAATTATTGAGAACAATACTGAGTTTTGTAAAGCGTACTGTAGATTCTATTCCTAATTCGGAATTTGTTGCAGAAAATGAACGTGACCGACACGATGGCGCGTATCGTAGATCTGGAACCAAACAGCACCTACCACGTTTTCGTCGTCGCTGTGAACAAGCACGGCACCTCTTTACCCTCCAGCATGCTGTTGCTAAACATCACTGACAAAGGTTCCGTAGTAAATTTATACCAACCAACAACGTAACCTATACAGCAATTGTTTAAGTGTCAAACTTGGAACATTAACACATAATTGGCTTCGAGTACCCAGTGTTATAAACAGTTGTAAATGTGATAATATTTTGTGTAGGTACCTATCTTAGCGTGTTCTCTATGCAAATTATGTCTGGCTAGGACAGAATATCAGAGTTGGTGTGCCTTCGGTGCTACAACTTTGAGTTCTGGACCGTTTTGTTTAGATACTTGTTGTTTTTATTTCTGTTACTTTTTATATATTTCTCTTTCTGTATGTCTATTGAGACCAGATTGTTAACCAACGTTGTGGTCTAGTTCAGTATATTGAATTACTTAACTCGCTGAATCTGTCGTTATTAAGACGTTTAACTTCTTAGTTAGTCTTTACAAATACCGCTGCCCTTTTTAGGGATGTCCCGTTTAGATACACAGCCTGAAACCTACGTTAGTAAATATGTGTACCAAATGCCAGATTTATTGAATAACATATTTAAAACAAGGTTAATAAGCCCTGATTATAAAACGCAGTGCACTGTTACTATAAATTAACTCTGTCCATACCAGATTCTGAAAAGGAGGTGTCTGGTATACCATCACCGCCACATTCCCTCTCCGTGTCATCACACTCCGCAACATGGCTGACTTTGACCTGGCAGCCGCCCCAATTCTCGCTCCCTGACGAAAAGATCACCTATACGTAAGTTACCTATACACTAAAATATACTATACATGTGTATAGTAATAAATTCTACAAAATATAAATATATCAATTATAAAAATTCCATAAAAATAAATAATAATAATAATAACACAAGTCTGTTCTAGTGGTTCACCAATGGTAAATGATGTGGCTGGAGTTGCGCTCTCAGCCTTCAATAGATAAATTTTCTCATTGAAAAACAAAAGTATATACTTCTGATTAGTAAAATACAGTAACATTTCCGATGCCTTCTCCAGACGATTTTTAACAATCACGCAAAAGCATATGCAGCTATGTGGCCCATCAGAGTTGTTATCTTAATAAGCTCGCAGATTACGGTAATTAAACTAATCCATCTGATTTTCAACGACTTTCCAACCAGGCTGTTCTACAAATCGCCGACGCAGATAGGCCAGGGCAACGTGACCAGCATAAACACAACAGTGCCTGGTCACACCCTAGAGAAGCTCACACCCAACACACAGTACGTCATCTGGGTGAAAGCACACGCCGCCGCTGGAGACTCGCTGCCGTCAGAAACGCTACTCGCCTGGACAGACCCCGCGTATCCTGCATATGTTGAGGTCAGTTATTTTAAGTGTAAGAAACATCCACAAACAACTCATTGTGAACAATTACAAATAGTTTGTAGAAGGTATCCTAATGAAAAGGGCTGGTCGAAGTTGGAAAGGTCGAAGAATACTATGAGGATAAGGTGCGGAAATGACTCTTGCTATGCACTCGCAAGCCAACTGGATGCCGCTGCTTTTACACTTAAATAATTCAGTATACTAACTTAATTAAAAGAAGATAATACTGCAGAGTTTCTTGTCGTTTCTTCTCTGGACAGATCTAGTTTAGTGAACCGGTGGTTCTGTTTTGACGTCCAATAAGAGCTTAAAATAAATGTATATTGAATAAAGAAATTTTGAATTTGACTTTGACTTATGGATGTGAAAAGAGCTAAATGCAAGAAACCTAACCCTTAAAGTTTTCTGCAAAAAAAATCCTTGAATGAGTAGAAAAAAGTACAAACGAAGTTCTTCTAAAATCAAACTTTTATACCATCTAAATATATTTGTATACTTCACAAATTGTGCAAATTAAAACAAGACCTAACCTTGTCACGTAGGATAAACTGGATTCTATATACTGGAAACGGGCATTTTCTTACAGTCCTATATTGTAATATAGCAATCCAATTAAATGTTTCCTTTCTAGCCACCAACAGTCAACCCAGTGAATTTAGTAGTGGAGGGTTCCAGTATGACGATTCTGTGCATTGCCATGGGAACACCTACACCGACAATATCTTTATACATATCTGGTAAGTTAGTCGTGAAGTGATTTACTTGTGATGTCATCGAACGGACAGTAATGTAATCGAAAAGGAGGTGATGAAAGCCTGTCAAGTGTTGCTTTTAAATCTTACTTTCGACAGTGATGTAGCCGAGTAGAGAAAAGAGTTAGTCATGAGTCGTGCTTTAAAATAATTCGCTATTAAATCAAAAGAAAAGGCTGAAAGGCACACGATTTATTTTATTTATATCTTGTTACTCGTTATAATAACTGCGGCATATGATTCCGTTAGGTCAAATGGTTTTTAACAAAAGCAAATCATATACATATATCCAAATATCCCGTATGGCGTACCATATATTCGTATGGCCAAAATCGAGTAACATATTAACGGAAGAACGTATTTGTTCACTTGTCGCTTTTACTGTCCCTTAAGCCCGGTTTACACTCTTCAAGTATTTAGAAAAGTAAACAAGTACAATGAGTAAGTATAGTAATGTAAACGGTCGAACAGTGGCGAGTCAACTTGAGTGTCACCACTGTCTGACTGTTTACAATACTGTATTTGTCTACGGTACAAAACACTTGACGAGTGTAAACCGAGCTTTAGTCTACATACGACATAACGTCTTTGCGATTCGAATGTGGGTTAGTAGTAATTATTAGTTGTTATAGAAAGCTAATGTTGGTTAAAGCTGAGTACCACTACAGGCCAGAAGGCAACTATTATACTGCTTCTTAACTTTTAACTTGACTATGAATTTATCATGCACTGAACAATATTAAAAATAATGCCGTTTTATAGATTTAACCTCGTACTGAAGTACTTTAATGTTTAAAGTGTTTTCATATACATAATTTCGTCACCAGGCCGGCTGGTAAGACAAGATGTGACGAGGCATATGGTGACGGTGATACATAACGTCACTCGTGACATGGACCAGATCTCGTGTTACGCTGACAACGGCTACGGCACCCCCATGCAGGCCTCGAGAAAAATAAACATATCCCGTGAGTCCAAGTTTCACATATTTGTAATAGAATTCGTCATTGTTTTTTTTATAATACTGGCAGAAGTAAATCAATCGCATGACGACTACCCGGTTGGAGTAGTGTGAATAAGTTAAACTTTAACAAGATTTGCTTGCAATACCTCCGACCAGCTTACTCAAATGCACACCACTTCCAGACGTACCAACGATCCAGGCCTCTGGCATAACGATGGCGGCGGCTGGGGACTCCGTTATCCTGGAATGTCGCGTAGAAGCCCTGCCTAAGCCCACCATTGCTTTCTGGAGGGATCCCAACGGAAGGACACCGGTGATTGACGGACCGAACTACACAATCCAACTTATAGCGGATCCAGAAGTAAGTTTATAAAGCCCTCGTGTAAAGGTAATGCATGTGAAGTAAATCCAAAATGAATAATTTGGCAGTCACGAAAGTGATCAGCGTCTCATACTTAAATTTACCAATCAAGAAAATCAAACGCTAGTATCGGTATTAATAGCGAATCTCCCAAAGGTTGAATATGGTACTGTTAGGAAGCCGAAGGGAAGCCTGTAACAAGAAGGAAACTGTCATTGCTGCATATCCGTACTTCTCTTTAACGAAACCATATGACATATATAAGAAAAATTTACAGATTGTTCAGTAAAACTGTGATAGTGTAACAGTTTTTATCTCTTTCTAACAAAGGTAACAGTTGTAAGAATGAATAGAGAAAAGCTTGTGATAGCGCGTAAAGAAACTTTTGTGCGAATAAATTACTGTTTAATTAACACTAAGTTTTTACGCAACTGTCACTTGTTACGGTAAATACACCTCACTCCTACTACATAAGCGTCATACCATAATAGCATGTCTGACTAAGCTGCTGACACCCTAACATTGTCACCATTTTAATATTCATTTTGCATTACGATTTTCAGCAAGGGCCAAATTCGTTCTTTATAAACACAATTGATGCGAGATCACGTTCGGTTGCTTGCTTAGAAATATCATTTTGTAACCCAGAGGCTTTTTAATACAGACGGCTCGCATAAATTTGGATGTTATAAAAAAACAATATTATCATTCCGTCAACCCGAAGATTAAGGCTGAATTGACCTAGTTCACCCGTACTTTAAAAGATTTGGGCCACTAGCCACTGTTAGATCACTGAAATACCAATCTCTACATGCATTGATGTTCCATGTTTCAAGTTTATTAATTAGCACAATTTTGACACGCGCATGACATTTGGATTGAGGATATATAATGTAATTTGTGACCGCTGCTCAAAACTGTTTTTGGAAGCTTATGTTCAGCGGCGGTGTCTTAAAATCGGAACCTACAAATAATAATGACATGCGTGATTCGGTACCTAAAACAAGTAACAGTTAAAATACACGGTGTATTTTAACTGTTACTTGCTTAAATAATTAATGTGTAAATAATAGATATTACACTCACTGCGAAGACATATTTCTTTCATGTGAAGTATTCACTGAATTCATATTATTTTCAAACGCTTTTAAGTGAATCGTTCCCCTTAATTCATCAATTGTTTTCACTGGCGCGCTGAAATGTCGCTCATTAATTACTGAAGCGGCCTGTGGTCGCCGTATTCAAACTACATTTACTTATTTATGCAAATCCAATGCCCGGAATCTCATTACTATGCGAAGCCGTCAATACATTACTTTCCCTCTGGAGGCGGTCGTCCCTCCGCCGTCATTTAAGTGTTCACTTGAAAATTTTTATTATCCAAGCCGAACTTTTCCAATTTGTTAAATACCTTTAAAGCGACAGTTCATCACTCATTAGAAAAACTGCAAAAAGCTCTGTTTTATTTCATTGTTTAAGATCTGTCATATCCAACACCATCTAATGTTATTGAACAAGTATATGCAAACTGAATTATTATGAAAGCTGTTGTAATAGTTATGTATGCACGTTAATATGCAAATCAATTTCATTCGTGTTTTTTAGCTGATTATTTTCCTTCGCTATCGCTTTCCCTTAAAATATTGACCAATCAGTTTATTCTCGATGTCAATTTTTTAAAAGCATTCGTTCTCATTTCACTTTTCTCCCGCTATACCCAGAATCATACGCCACATTTAATTGACAGTACCTGATCGCCCAAAATTGATTAACAAATGAATTTATAACATTTAATTTTTTTAGAAAAATACGATAAAACGGATTTTACTCGAGTATGCCAAATACCCAGTAACTCTGCGTCAATGCAATCGCTGTTCTATAACGTAAAAACTTCCCGCGATCGTAAAAATTCCCCAATTCAATTTCAACATAAGCCACGTTGCAATAATCTTCACGTTTAAGAATTTCCAAATGCTGATTAAGACTTTCTTGGTGCAGGATCACACCAAGTATACGATGCGGCTGATTATAAAGAAGATAACGGAAGCTGACGAGGCAGACTACTTCTGCCACGCGGAGAACGCCTTCGGAAAGACCTTGAGGCCGGTCTCCGTTCGACTACGTCCTACCTCGCCGCATCACAATGTGACCGAATGCTGCACGCAAGTGAGTAGTCTTGCAAGTCACGGAGTCTACTGGTCGGGCTTAGAACCCTCTCGATGATTAGCAGACCCCAGGTCATCTTAATGATCTGGGCCCTATTTATCGACCTAAGTTTTACCTGACCTTTAATATTTATCACAATAATAATTGAATATAAATAAAATAGTGCTCTGCCGTTGTGCGCGCATCACGAATATGCTTCTTGATAGATGTCGTTTCATTCTTCTATGTTTTATTTCTAAGATACTTGTCCCTTATCTAAAAGTATGTCATAATTTCATTCATATTCAACATTATATTATTAAATTTTTAAGAAAAAACGATTTTTATAAGCAATATATGTGGTTTTTTTTTCTGAGACGAAGAAATGTAGGAGGTGTTGTCGTTTTTAATATAATAAACAACACAGACAAAGCTTTGGTTGTCATTTTTTGAAATACAGATTGTTTTAATCATTCGATTGTTCGTTTCAAATGCTTAATTTTTTTACTATAAGACTCAATACAGTGATTGTCTTGTCTAATTCATTTGTAAGCAAGATATCCATGTAATTTTTTTTACCCAGATGAACGTTTCGTCGTCCTGCATCGACGCTTGCAGCTTCCATTTAGATATGGACAATATAATGGACCGACCCGAGTGTATGGATGACTTCGAGAAACTGATGAAGTGCGCAGCCGACGGATCTGGTAATATACAATAGTATAAATTGAGCGTGTGTATGTAATATCTTTCATATTTAGAAAAGAATAGAATATACTTCATTGCACACAATCTCTTGTGTATATACACAGAAGGAGATTAAAGAAACAGGCGATCTTTTTGCTAATGTAGTTATTTCTTCCAGGCGACCTTAGACGAAATTTTTTTTTTATGTGAGACAGTGGCAAGCGAGCTGGCGGTTAACCTGGTGTTATATAACCGCCACTGGTTATATAACCTGGTGTCATACAGCGTGTCATTATCATCGCGACAATAAGTGAACACAGATATAGAGTATAACTTTTTAAAATTGTATTAAACATTTACATTCTTTAAACATCAAAATTTACCGAGTTATTAAATTTTACAAAACAAACAATTTTAGAACATCCTTACGTATAAAACGGTAAACTAAAGTTCATTTGAAAAGGTCACAAAGCATATGAATGGGTTGAATGCATTTGAAAGAGATAAAACATACTGTTAGAAGGAGAGATTTGTAGTGGCACGCTGCGGCAACGAATGAAAAAGTGTCTGAATGTATGAATCAGTCAGTAGTAGTATATAGGATGTTACAAATTTTGTTTCTTTTTTATTTAATTACTTTGTTTGAAAAATATATTTTTTTAATTATAGATTTTTTTTTAACGTTTTATTTTTTTTATGATTTTTGGCAAGTAGCGTTAGACGTGTTAATTTTCGCAGTTGTAACGACACGCTGTATAACCGCCGCTGGTTATATAACCGCTGCCTATTAACATTTGCAACACCCCACAGTGAATCTGCAACCATACGTTGCAGATTCACTGACACCATTGAGTAAAGTGAGTTACGGCTACCTCACTCACCAGATGAAACGCATAATTATGACACTTCCACGTCACGGTGACCTTCTGTGAAGTCGTGGTACTTACCCGGACGGACTTGACCATTCGAAAAGTCGAAGCTGTTCATCACAGAAGAAATTATTATGTGGAGATATTATTCTTTCACATTTTGGCTGGTGAGTGAGGTACCGGCGCTTACTTTTTTAGTTTGTCCATGCGTTACTAAAAATTTTAATGTTTTATACTATGTGCAGAGATTAGCACTACAAAATTTTTTATTTCAAATAGCAATGGCCGCGAATCGCTCGAATAATCCTCGTTAATGAACAATATAGATAAAATACGTTGATATTGACGTGCGGCGTGGCTCCACCCTTATGCTGTCGACGTTCCACGTACAAGAACAAAGCGACTCGCTTCTTCATTTATCATCCGTACATATAAGGAATGGAACAACCTGCCGGCGTCCGTCTTTTCGTCCGATTACAACGTATGCGTCTTCAAGGCAAGAGTGAATAGGTTTTTACCGAACTAGCGCTCTTACCATCGACGGCTGCATCTCCACTTACCATTAGATAGGACGGCATCAGATAGCATTTGACATGCTAGCCAGTTTTGAAGTAAAAAAAAAAATCAGCCACTTAGCCGTTAAGTCAGGGCCCAAACCCTGAAGACGTGAATTCGATTCCCGCAGCGGCGAACAACTTCTCGTCCAGTTCTTTTATCACGATGTAATGTCGAGACGATCCCTTTCGCTCAACGCCACCTTTGTGGTCAGACCACCGCGCCTGCTGCGCCTCGTGGGGCGTGCCGCGCACCTGCTTGGAGCTGTGCCGAGGGGGGCCGGTGTCCCGCACTTGCGCGGTGCAGCACGCGCGCCGCGCCCTCGCCTGCTTCCGGGACGCCGGCGCTCGCCTTCCGGGCCCCCCGCGCGGTCTTCGCGCCCACGCTGCGCCCACGCCCAACGCTGTGCTGTTGAGGTCCGACAAACTTTTTTACACATATATATATATACATATATATATATATAGGTGACATCCACAAGCTAACAGTTTAAACACGTCTCACTGATGGGGCAAAGGATTCTTCGATACAGATGGTATCAGAGCATAGTCCACCCCACAACGGGTTGGACTTCACATGTCTTCGAAAAATTTTTTTTATTAATATCTTAAAAATACACAGGTTCACGGTGTTTTCCTTCATCGCAGAGCAAGTGCCAAGGCAGCGCTTAAAATCAACAATTTTATTGGTGCCGACGCCGGGCATCGAACTCGGGTTGCTCCAGTGTATTTAATTAGAGACGAGTGCACAGACACTGAGTATGGCTGGTCAATTACGATAAATTTAGATGTCTTTCTCCGTCGTAAGAGTTGGAACTCCTTCCAGTGGAAGGTCCACTGTGCAAGTACCTTCCAAGAATATTAAAACTAATATACTTTACGTTGCTACTAAAAATTTGATAAAAAAATGTGATACAAGTGATATAGCTTCCCCTTGATATGTTAAGTCTACATTTTTGCTGCAGATTTGAAGTAAGAAAGAAAGAAACATTTATTGCATAAATACGCTACATGTATAAACATAACTTACTTACGAACTTTTTTTACGATTTCACGTCAAATTCGACGTTTCATAAGATTGCACGTTCTTTCTGGATAAAGATATTTTGAACGAAGGAATGAATAAGGATTGAACAGTTGGAACATCTTAACATAAAAAAAAAAACTGTAACAGGAAAATAATACTAAAAATAACTGTGATACAGACATTGACATTCGCTTCGAGGAGCGTTCAATTCCATTATTGTCGGCAGTTGGGAGCCACCGCTGAAGAACCCGCAAACGGTCTACCTGTACCGGGTGTTCTGGCGCGCGTACGGAGCCAAGGTGCCGGAGAAGCTGGACACGAGTGAAACAAGCGTCGTGCTGACCGGCCTTAAGGACGAAGTGCGGTACGAGTGCGTGGTGAAAGCGGCCAATGACGTCGGTAAGAATGTCCTTCCAAGCCAATAAAGATAATAAATAAAGCGGGCAAATCTCAAAGCGTTGAAAAGAAGCTCATCTCATAACTGATCATGCAGTCCAGTGCTTCTCAAAATTTTTTGGTGCGCCAATTCTTCATCTAAATTTCTTACAGCAAATTGTAGGGAAAGCAATAAGGTAGGGTTGTATGGAAAGAAGAAACAAAGATACGCAATAATTTTTTTACAAAGAAAGATAACAATTTTAAATGCTAAATATTAATGCACCAAAAAGGTTTCCACTGAGCGTTAAATTCACGAAGTTTAAAAAAAACTCCAAATTCCGAAGGCAAGAAGGTATTTTGTTAACTTCCCCTCGAGTCCTTTAAAGTTTCAGTACCTGGAGGACCAAGCCTTGCTCGGTTATTTTTTTGGTAAATCATGTATTTTGGAAATAAAAAAAATAAAGAAAATGATCTGGTATAGAAAAAAAAGTAAAAAAAATAAATGTGTAAATGATCGTAACGCGAACCGCGGCCGTCTGTTTTGGGGCCGCCCGATTACCTACCGAGCTGTTATAACATTTTTAATTGCGGCGGAATTTACTATCATATTCGAATGATATTTGTCGTTCCTTAAAAACAGGGATAAAAGGACATTTTCTAGAAATGAAACCTAGCTGGACCGATTTTTCGCCCCCGAATCTACGCACATACAAAATTTCATGAAAATCGCTGGAGCCGTTTCCAAGATTCCGATTATTTGTATTCCGGCTTAGCAAGGTACATTGGGGTTGGCGTTACTGATGGATACGTATCAGATTGTTGTGTCATTTGTGCAGGAACCTCGTCTCTGAGTGCCCCGATCTTGTTCACGACCGCGGGCCAAGAAGTGGGTGCTGCCGCGGCTCCGGTGCGCGGCAGTGCTGCATCAGCGATTGGGGGTGCAGTCGCCTGCGTGGTACTAACCGCGCTCCTGCTCGCCGCCGCGCTCTACTACCGCCACCGGAAGGTACGTCTGTGCGAGTGAAGAGTATCCTTTCATCATTCTCATATAGCGCCGCGACGCACGATCCTGGGCCTTGACGATCCATTGACATTTCCATACATTTGCACGGGTCGTCGCGCCATCTATAACCCCTCAACATCCTCACAGCCTCTTCGATTCCACTGCTGAGGATACGTCTGTGACGGACCACGATCTCGAGCTATCTACTTCCCACTCGTTAACACAAGTCATCGCTCCATCTAGTGGGGGGTCGTCCTAAACTGCGAACAAAATATATTGTTTAGACGCGCGTATTAAGCGATCGAGAGGGAGAGATGTGAAGACGATTTATAAGTATTTAACTAAATTAATTAATAACTAAATAATTTGATGATTCCGTGGCGCAGTTGCCGAAGTTTTGGCTTCGATGTCGGGGGTCGTGGGCTCGATTACTACAACGGGACAACTATTTGTGTGACCCACAGATAGTTGTTTCGCATCTGGGTGCTTGTCCACTTGAAATTTCTGTTTCGTTCTTACAACACAGGATAATGTCATCCTAAAGTAAGAGTAACGTTTTAAAAAAAATTAAACAAACAAAAAAAGTATAAAATATTATTAGGCTTAGAACTTAATACACTCAAAGAAATTTGAAGATCATTAACTAACATTATTTATCGAATAGCTGGAGAGGGGAATACCGTGGTAAATATTACTGTGGTAGGGCCATGCAACAATCGCTATTATTGCACGAATTGAGAGGCTCATCTAATGACCATTAATAAGTTAAAGTTCGTGATTGTCTGGTGAGTGAGATAACGAGCCCCAATTTTTAAAGGTTGACAACGCACCTGCAAGCCTTCAGATTCTATATATGTCCATGATTAGCGGTAAAGCTTAACCGTCTAGTCGGTTGACAATTTTTCGACAGAAAACGAAAACGTTTGTCGTAATAATCGTGTTGCGTTATTGTAGGTTCACGGTCTTTATACAGCGTGATGCTATTTATTTCGTCTTAACATGTGCACGTTTTCTCACCCCTTTGTCGTTACCGTGTTAAATCGCTCGAATTACGGAAGGCGCACTGAGGCAAGACTCCTCTTCCAGCATTTCAATTTATATTCCATTATATCGTTTCTTTATAGGACATGTGTAGTATAAAATTATAATTCATATTATACACAGACAGTTGAACACATCTGTGACAGATAATGAAATTTGTTTCAGAATTTACGTCAGAAAACGCAAGGTGGAGTAGCGTTTGAGAATCCTAGCTACCTAAGAGAAACAAATCCCGATACCGTTATCAATGTAAGTATTTTAAATTATCTTAAATTGTTTTAACATACAGTTTGATTCGGCGTTAGTTAAAATAATAATAATATACTTTGGTTGACTACTATACTTATCTTATTTCGTTATATACTTGTTTACATTTCGTGTCGAGAGATCGAAGTCGCCTAATAAACAAAAAATGCCTGTGCCAGGTAACTTCACTCTTCCGTACCTAATAATATAATTTAAAATGAATAATATAATATACAACTAGGCTATATATAATTAGGATTCTATGCGTGCACTTATGTACGCACGTAAGAAGTTATACTTCTTAAGCGTAAAGACATTAAATGCCAAAAGATAGTGCCGTGATGTTGGTTGCTTTGCCAACAAACTTCATTCTTTTTGAGGGTCGGTGTGCGAGCGCATCGTAAAAAATTTACTCTCATAGTTTTTCCAAACGCCCCAAGGGAAGTATAACTTCAAAAATTGCAGCATTTACACGAATAAATGTACAAGAGCAGACCACGAAATATTCGCGGTACACATTCGCTTCTTGAATTTTTTTTTAAACGAAAAGGCTTTTCACCCGATGCTAACCGACAGGGCACGCTGCCTAACGGCAATGCAAACGGGACCAACGGGATATCGAAACAGCTCCGCGTGGCGCCAGGAAACCCTGCAGAACCCTAGCACCGCGCGCGAGGTTGAGCCCACGCTGTACGAGGAGCTGAAGCTGGGGCAGGACGGAGCCGGTTTCAAGCGACTGAAGCCATAGCCCGCGGCCCCGAGCTCGACGCTCAGCCCGCCGAGCCGCTCGCCGCTCAGCCCGCCGAGCCGCTCGCCGCGCCGTTCGCCGCGCCGCTCGCCGCGCCTCTCCTCGCCGCGGATCGCGCCCAAGTATTGAGCGATACGCCCGGTGATATCACAGTTTACACGTTGAAATGAACGTGTATTCTCAAAATGGACTCGCAGCGACCGATTTCCAGTGATCTGTATCTACGGTATTTTACCAATTAATCGTGATGTAGTTTTAGAGTCGTGATGAATTCAATTTTATAGGGGTTTTAATCGTTAATAATTATGAAATGTACATCATCATCTTTTCGAATATAGGAAATGGTCTTTAATTCCGGTCTGAGTTTTGCTAAACAAATCCCCAATGACATATGTTTAAATACAATTAGTTACAATTTTGTCGTAAGATGTATATGTGATGTATCTTAAAGTGAACGCATAAATATCAGATGCACTTATAAAATGGGAGTCGCTGAAAGTAATCGCAAATTTTTTAAACTGTAAATGTAGTCACGAAATAAACTAAATATTGAGTAGTTAAAATACCAAATACTTATGTAAATATACATAATGTTAAATAGATAAAATTTTGCATAGCATCAAAATGAAATATTCAACAGTTCATTGCATAAATCCCAAGTGGCGTGGCTGGAGCGGAGGGTAGGTTATAAACAATTAATTTAAAAATATAATATTTCCAGAGTAACACTTCATGTGATGAAAACCAAAAAAATATAAGATCTATTTCCAATATTATATGTAACAGATTACTATTGAAAACAGCAGAAAATTAAAAAATATACAAATTATATATTATGCCGCGAATTTGGTAATTTTAACGCCAAAGTGCCGGAGCGTTCAAAACGATTTTTAGCTGTTTTCAATATTATCCACTTAGATCGCTAAAGCTTCTATCATGAAGCGATTTGTATTAAAGTTAGGTCAACTCTATAAGAAAATGTGCCTTCAATTTATGAAGTAGTTATGTACGTTAGGAATAGTTTTTCGGGCCTGTATAATATGTACCTAGTGTAAATAAATGATACATACATTCCATAGAGGTAGAAGTAACACTTTGTACAATCTATAATAAAAGTTAACCGTAAAGCGATCGGTCTGCACAGTATTAAGATTTGATAAATGTTAGCTGTCGAAATAAATTGATATCAGCGTTATTTACTATGATTAAGATTTTTCTGACATAACATTCCAAGACTAGCATGAAGTACTTTGCTCATTGTATATGATCCTTTTTACAACTAGGCATCAGATTGTATCAACCCAAACGAATATTATACGAATTTATTAATCATATCGCACTACGTATGCCTATTTAGTACTATATTTCATTTAAAAAAAAAATAAGTATCTCATTCACGATTATTTCGAATATCGTAATAATTGTCAATTGAATTTTGTTTTATATTCGGCATTTTGAGTATTAAATGGGTTTCAAATTTGATTTTTTCAACCAAATTTTTGTAACCGAAATTGAAACTTTGCTCTCTATATAATAATTCAAACCTCTATCTATCTGTAGATTTTGTTGTTATATCTGCAGTTAACAAATCGACAGATGAATAGATATTGAAAACGCCGTTAAAAATTCCCCTAATCCCTTATCTAAGTGCGTATATGACTTTATATACATACGTAGTGCCATATACCATAGTCAAACAAGGTTCTTCCAATGATTTCATTTTCTATGTTATGCTGTTATGTAATAGATTTAATTAAACAAGACGGATGTGATTAGATTTGTAAATAAAATAAAAAAATGAACAAATTATACTTGTCGATTAATTATTTCCAAAACCTTCTAAGCTTTTTAAGGACCTGAACAAACGTCACAATATTAAAAAGCAAATATTAAAAAAAATATTAAAAGTATATATTAAAAGGCAAAACAAACAAAAAAACATTTGCCGATAAATTTTCTACAATTTCAAATTAAATTTTCTACATTTAGATAATTAACTCTGGTAGGGCCCACGCAACAGTGTTCACTGTTGGACGAATGGGCTGGTCCGTCCGGGTTGTACCACGACCTCACAGAAGACCGGCGTATAGTAGAAGTGTTACACATCTGCGTTTCGTCTGGTGAGTGAGGTAGCCGGGGCCCACATTATTTAAATGTGGCAACGCATTTGCAACCCTACGGGTGTTGCAAATGTCCATGGGCGGCGATTATCACTTAACATCAGGCTCGTTTGCCATCTTATCACATAAAAAAAATCTATAATGCATACGTTGGTGATCAACACTTTGTGGTGGCCATTGTAAGAATGGCTTTGGAAAATTAGAAACCGAATTATCTGTATCAATGACTGATCCGTTTTTCGAATTTATACGTGCAAAATCAACAGTTATACATGATGATATCATTCCATAATGGTGATAATGTATACTGCAAGTTAATCGGATAAGAACATTGGATATTGGCTTCTCTGAGAGAATCATATGCAACTATACAAATTAATTTTAAATTAATCCTAATCAAAAACAATCTGTCTTATGCCCAGTTTCCGAAAGGCCAATCAAAGCAGCAATCACATAACACTATGTCAAAAATGACCAGCTGTTAATCTCTTGTTAAACTGCCTTGGGTTTCTGGAAGGTTTGTTCAAGAAAAATTTGCTAATCACTATATAACCAATGATAATGAATGAAATGAATGATTTACTTCAACTAACTCTTTCTATTATATAGCTGTCCCTTTTTAAACAAAACTTAAATTAACGTCACTATCCAGTCCTGTCACCGTATGAATGCCAACGTAAAAATCCGAGCTATAATAAAATTTAATTTCTATAAATACTTGCAAAATGTCAAAAAAAACTTTACAGAACGTGAAAAAAATGAACTTTTATCCATAATAAACAAGTAAGTATTATAAAAAGAAAGAATCCATATTATTTATTAACCTTTGAATTGCATTTTGTATTTTTTCTAATTGCATGATATGTTCGCATAATAATAAATAATAAATAAGTAATAGAACACATGAATGTCCTAACAACGTATTAGGGAATTATGTTTATTTTTAATAAAAATTAAGATTTTTGATAAATAACATTTTTAACCAACGATTGATCGTCCAAATTGACAGATTAAGTAATAAAACTTTTGACTCGTTGACCACCGAAAAACGCTTTCAGAAACTCGATTTTCTGTTGATTGTCCGTTAATCAGTGACTAATTGCAAATCAAAATCAATGTTGTTTAAGACGTTCTAGCAACTCAGATCATGTTAAACAACGATTGACAAGAGATTTATGGTAAATTAAAATTGATTGCGCTTTCGGAAACTGGGTGTTATTCTGTTAATCTCTTATTTTGCATTGTTTTATTTTGTTTAAATTCATCAGGTTAATTTAATAGTAATAAAAAGAACCCGAAGTTGTAAACGTCAATTGTTTAAATTAAATTAATCGGCATTAAATCCGAAACAATAGTATAGTTTACAAACAGTAATAAAAACTTGAATTTCAATATAACTTAATCACGTTATTAGTTAATTACGGAATAATTTAAATGACGTACCAATGTATTATTAATTTTTTGGCAATAAAATAATAACAAGCATATTATATAAAAAAAATAACAACCCAGTGTTGAAAAATATAAATAAACAGAAGAAGTCAAATATATGCCTTCGTTAAGCTAACGATTTGTAAATACGTAGCATGTTCAATTGACAAAGGTTTACTTGTGCTTTATACGTTAATTTTGGTCTATCACGTTTGTTTAGAAACGGAGTAGACTTCCAATTGATATACGCTTTAAAATATAGCTTTATTCAAAAGAGATGATCACATTACTAAATGTAAGCATGTTTTACGAATATCTTCTTGGTAACAACGTCTTCTTTCTTGAAGATCCCTCTGCTGCCCAGAAAAACTGCTGGTGATAACTGATTTCACAAAGAAGTATTGAGTGGTAAAAATTCTGTGAAACACACACCGTAGTAGACCGCCACCCATCAAAGTGGTATCGGTGTTGTTTGGTGGTTGGTCGTGATGTGCGGTATTGAAACTCGGCAGCAAGTGCTAACCCGAATAATACTTTAGGGCTCTCCCCGCGGTGGATCTGGTCTGATCTTTGTTTCCCTGGCCCATTCATGTAGCAACAAAAGCTACTAAGTACGGAGGTCCCACGGAAACGATCGGGAATAAGAAAAACCACATGCACGGTATAGCTAAATTGTATTTAATTGTTTTTAGAAGTATTCTCTGTTCAACTTAATGCACTTTGAAATTCGTGCAAACAAATCATTAAAACTGTAATTCCAGTCTGAAGTTGATGTTGACATAATGGCTGATTTGTACGCTTCCACAGCGGCTTCGGGGTCTTCAAACCGTTAACCGCGTAAATCTTTCATTCTAGGGAATGTAAAGAAATCGTTTGGGCTCAGGTCAGGAATGTACGGAGGATGGCTCATCAGCTCATCATTTTACTGCTTCAAAAAACCATTTGTCTTCATATGGGAGCATTATCGTGATGTAAGATGATGCGACGTTTCGGGTTATATTTTCGGAGTTCGGCTATCATTTCTGGGAAAAAAACCGTGATAAAGGAATTGTAGCAACGTGCCTCTTTTTCGAGACAAACGTAGCGACCATTCTCTTTTGACACTCTGCGGGAGCAGAGGGGAGGAGACGAGGCCAAACCACTTTCGTTGGTTTGGCCTCATCTTCGAAAACCGATGTTGACTGATGTCTTCTTTCTGGTTCGTATGAATAAATCCATGATTCGTCACCTGAGACGATATTATAAACGGCATTTGACTTCCCTCTTGAAGCGGTGCAGAGTATTCCGGCACCAATCTACACGAGCCGCCTTTTGCTCTTTGGACAAATTGTGGGGAACCCAGCGGGAAACTGCCTTTCTTACACACAGCTCATCGACTGAGTTGCAGTCATTCCGATACTGATAACAGCCCGAATCTGCTCGTATGTCACATGACAGTCAACTAATATAATTTCGCACACAAGTTCGCACAGCTGCGATGTTTTCAGGCGTGACCGCTGTTCTTGGTCGACCTGCAGAACAAACAGTGCTGAGCGACACACGACTTCGTCGGAACTCGGCATACCAGCGGTATATTGTCGTTTGACTCGGTGCTTCAACATTGTAAATCGAATCAA